GACATCTAGTCCCAGCAGGACTAGGCATATCCTCTTCCTTTGAGGTCCAACCAGGCAGTCCAGGTAGGGGGAAGGGGACCTTGTACATTCACTTTGGAAATCAATTTTGTGGTTTCTCAGAAAACTGGGAATAATTTTACTTCAAGACCCAGCTATACCACTCCTGGGCATACATCCAAAGATGCCCCTCTATACCATAGAGACACTTGCTCAACTATACTCATAGCAGATTTATTAGTTATAGGTGAAAACAAACTAGACATCTTTCAACTGAAGAATGGATAAAGAAAATGTGGTATATCTACACAATGAATTACTACTATTCAGCTATTAAAAACAAAGACATCATGAATTTTTTTAGGCAAATGGATGGAACTTGAGAATATCATCCTGAGTGAGGTAACCTAGAGCAACAAAGAAACATATGATATGTCCTCACTTATAAGTGGACATTAGCCATAAAGTGCAGGATAATCACCCTACAATCCACAGACCCCAAGAAACTGGGTAGTAAGGAAGTCCAAGGGAAGCTGTACAAATCTCACTCAGAAGGGAAGTTAAATAGTCATTGGAGGTGGATGGAGAAAGGGAACTGGGTGGGAGAGGGTGTGAGGAGGGGAACAGGGATGGTGATCAGATGTAGGGAGGGGGTAGGAGAGGGCTGGGAGTAAGAATGGAAATCAGTGGGGGGCATCTCTGGGACTAGCATGTCTGGAACAAGGTTAGATGCTATGAGTTTATGGAGATGAACCTAATTGAGATTCCTTCCAGAGAGAGATATAGAGATTGAAGTGGCCATCTCTTGTAGCCAGGCAGGACCTCCAGAGGACAGATGGGGACATCAATCCACCCACAAAACCTTCATCCCAAAATTTATCTTGCCTACAAAATGTGCAGAGATAAAGATGGAGCAGAGACTGAAGGAACAGCCAACCAATGACTGCCCTAATTTGAGACCCATCTAATGTGAACAGAGCCAACCCCTGACACTAATAATGATACTCTGCTATGCTTGCAGACAGGAACCTAGCATAACTATCTCCTGAGATGCTTCAACCAGGAGCAGAGGGAAGCAGATGCAGAGACCCACAGCCAACCATTAGGTAGAGCTCAAGGAGTCCTGTGGAAGAGTGGGAAATAGAATTGAGCAAGCCAGAGGGGCCAAGGACACCACAAGAAGACCTATCAAGTCAATTAACCTGGGACCATGGCGGCTCACAGAGACTGAACCACCAACCAAAGAGCATGCAGGGGCTGGATCTAGGCCTCCTACACATTTGTAGCAAATGTGAAGCTTGGTCTTCATGAGGGTCTCCTAACAAGTGGAGGCAGAGGCTGTCTCGATCTCTGTTCCCAGCCATTGGAAAAGAGATTCTCTTCTCATACAATATATCCTGATTATAGCGTTCCTTCCCTCTACTCCCCTCCCTTCTGGATCCACTCCCTTTCTGTCTCTAGAAAAGAACAGACTTCTAAGAACAGACTTTCTACATTTTATGACAAAATAAAATATAATACGATGGAGCAAAAACTATCATATTGAAGTTGGACATAGGAGCCCAACAGGAGGAGAAGAGTCCCAAGAAGTAGGCAAAAGACTCAGAGACCCACGTGCTCTAACAGTTAGGCTTCCCACAAAAGTAGTAAGCTAATAGCATATATAGCATTTATTATTTATTATTTTATTATGCTGTAATATAATTGCAGAGGACCTTGTGCAGACCCATGTAGGCCTCATGGTCGCTGCTTTAGTCTCTGTGACCCTTCCTCAGTTGATTTAGAGAGCTTTGTTCTTGTAATATCCCTCATCCTTGCTGGCTCTGACACTCTGCCTCCTCTTGGGATTCCCTGAGCTCAAATGGGAGGAATTTAATGGAGATCTCCAATGTAGACTGTCTCTTTGCATGGGTCTGGCTGTGAGTTTCTGAATCTGTTCCCATCTGGGCCTTAAGCTTTCTTGGTTTTTGTCTTCATCTATTAATTTTCAGTCCTAGAACAAAATAGTATTTGATGAAACAAAATTCATACATGTAGAATATTCTCTTATTTCTTTAACCGTTTTACCAAAAAAATGTAACCTCATATTTATATATATCACTAAAAATAAATTTGTTTCTCTCTTATACTTACTGTTTATTTCATTCCTTAAACAAGAATTGAATCTAAATTACATATATGGCATATTGTAAAAATATTAATACTCCACACAGTCTTAAAAATAAGCCTTTTGCCAAAGTGGTGGTACATATTTTTAATCTCAGGACTAGGAAAGCAGAGGCCAGCCTGGTCTATCTAGTAACTTCCAGGACAGCTAAGGGCTATAAAAAAGACTATTTCCAGAAGGAGCAAGAGAAGGGGGGAGAAGAGGAGGAGGAACAGGAGAAAGAGGAGGAGGAAGGAGAGGAGGAAGAGGAGGAGGGAGAGGAGGAGGAAGAATCACATCTCACTTTTCCTGCTGTGAATCTCAAGTCTTAGACAAATTATCTTTCAATTTTAATTTTTATATTTTCCCCATTTTGGTCTAATACGGCCCGAGAGTTAGAGAAAGTTCACTTTCTTCCAAGAGCCTTTGGAGATATCAATGACCTTGAGAAGCGAAAAACTCCTTGTAAATGGAAAAAGGCAAGCAGAAAAGAAATTACATAAAGATCCAGAAATTCTTACATTAATCCTGTAATTGCAGTTTTAGCTAGCAGAAGACATTTATTACTGTTGTTCTAGCTACAATACAGAGGAGGGCACTCAACACCTTTGAAGAGAAGGGGAGTCAAGGGCTCTTATAGTGATAAATTGGGTCCCACCGGGAACCCTTGATAAAATTAGGAATGGAAGTGGAAGAAAATGAAATGACTTTTTTTTTTTTGCCAACTATGGTGTTATGCCTACTCTGTATTCTAGCTAGAACCAGGGGAATAAACATACTCTGTCATCTAAACCATTGGTTTGCACCTCTGGTCTTATCTAAAGTGTTGGGAAGAGATCAAGGTCTGGCAAAGAAGGACACACAAAGGTGGGGCAGGATATGTCTCCCACACTCCAGAGATCCAGGTGTTAGTATACCAAATACAGAAACTCCCTAAGTGCCCCCTAAATTGTAAGAAACAATGATCCTTACTTTATAACACGCATACTGGAGTCTCAGCAAAAATGATGAATTTTATTTTATGACCTTGCAAAGTCAGGCAAAAATGGCTGGTGCACCCATTTGGTGTAAAATGTTGGTTTTTCTATTACTACTAACTTTTCCCTGTCCTCTGAATTCCTCATTGGCTGAGATCCTCAGGGAGGTATAGTCTTCCTGCTGTCTAGTATTTTTCCTTTCCCAAATTTTCCATCCTATGGATTCAAAATGCAAAGCCTTGTCTAAATTATTTCTAGGCTTGAGATTTCATCCTTCTGTTTTGTTTTGCTTAAAGGATGTTTAAATTTTATTTTATGTGTATGAGTATTTGCCTACCTGTAGATAAGTATATTATGTGTGTGTCCAGCATTCTCAAAGGCCCAAAGAGGGTGTTGGATCCCCTGGAACAAGACAGTTAGTTGTGTGTCACTATGTGGGTACTGGGAACTAAACCTGGAGCCTTTGACGGAGCAACAAGTGCTCTTATCTGCTGACCAAACTCTCCAGTCCTGATTCCCTCCTTTTTCTGATATCTAGGCTCAGCCACGTAGCAAACTTCCTGTAACTTTTCTACCTTAGGATGAACTGAGGGCATCTAGCACCAGCTGCCAACTGAGATGGACAGGGTCCTAGTGCCTCATGCTAATCTGGGATTCTCTAAAGAGCTCTAAACACACCTCACATTGAAAATGGATCATTATGGTTTATTTCATACATGGCAATCATTGCCAGTTTTGAGGTAAATGTGCTTCCAACACCAGTGATCTCCAAAATAAGTGAAGTAGTTGTTTTCTGTACAGAGTGCCAAAATCTTTCCTATGAGTAACTTATACTTGTGTCCTCGGTCTCTCTGAAAATACAAATTCCTCTTTAGCTTTCGATAGGCAATACTCTGTGGAAGGAAGAATTATTTTAAAAGAGCTAAACATAAGAAGAGTAGCGTCTGTGTTGTTTTCTCTCTTTTCCACTCAGTAAAACCTCAAGCGGTCTTTGAACAGATCTAGTTACTCTGTTATTAAGTTTCAAAGCACATAGGAGAGCAGACTGGGGGTAATTCCTGTGAAGGATAAGCAGGAGGGACCCAGCAAGCCAGTGAACATTAAACCAAGGATATGGGGCTGGTCAAAGGATGGGTTAAATTCTTATCTAAGCTTCATCCGTGTATTAAGTAGCTAATGATCTAAAGATATTTGTTGGCCTCTTTCTAATTCCATGAAGGACCAGGGAAAGAAGAAAGCAGGAGTAAGTGGAGGTAGGGGAGTTTCCAGTCCCTTTCAAAATCTAGTGTGGTTCTTTGGGTTTTTAATTCCTGTGCACGGCAAGCAAAATAACAGAGTAGGAGACAAACACCAAAGACTTCCCATTCTTCCTTTAAAAACACAAAACATGCTACACACACCCCCTCACATAGTACTGCTGCTTTTGGTACTGAGACATTTTGAATGAGAACACTAATGGGACTGAGCTTGAAAGATGACACCCCGTTGTCAGTTCTCTGGGACTTTAGTTCAGAGGTGTCACAAACTTAACTGTGGATGCTTCTAACCTATGGCTCTTGGTATAAACTCTGACTTTTTTTCAGTTAAGTCTGAGGCGAAGCATGCGTTGCTGCGTGTTTTTTTCTTCTTCTTTTTAATCCCGCTCCCAGGTGCTGCTGGCACTGAACTGAGGCAAAGACTCTGAGGACACAGGGGACTGAAAGTCATCACCTCTGCTGCCAGGTGTGCTAATGGCCAGCCTCAGCATTCCCGATCCGTGCCCTGCACGTCCCAGGCCTTCTGCAGGGAGGGGAGGAGCCGAGGGCGGAGCGGGAGGAGTGGCGCGGGCCCCGCGTGGGTCCTGCCTGAAGAGATCACCTCGGCCCCTTGGAGAGCCACGGAGCTGCGGCGGCGCAGGAGGGGGCCGTTTGGTGAGGGCGCGGCCTCTGGGAGGGGGACGTGCGACACGCATCCCAGCGCTGCCTCGGGCCACCCGGGAGCCTCGCGGCAGCTCATTGCCCCACTTGGCCACACTGGCTCCGTGATCCCTCTTTGCGCCTGCCTCGTCTTGTCACCTCCCGTCTCACCCTCCTCGCTCCAGCCTCTGCCACCTCATCCACAGCCATCTGAGCGAGCGCGCCTCTGAGAGCAGGAGGTGCTGCTCCGGGACACAGGGCGCGCCCTCCAAAGGTCCCCAGCTCGACATTTGGGGCCCCCCCCGCAGGCGACAGCATGGACACCAAGCGCTGCTTCGCCAACCGCTTCGATGACTACCAGGGCAGCCTGCTGGCGGGCCAGTGCGAGGAGGCAGTGGCGCCCTTGGTCACCTCCACCATCGAACGCATCCTTCAGGAGCTGCCCCCACTGGGGGGTGGCGCTGAGGCTCGGGGGGCGACGGCCGCGGGCAGCAGCTGCCAGGGGGGTCTGTACAGCGGCGTGGCCGGGGTGGCCTACATGCTCTACCACGTCTCGCAGAGCCCGCTTTTCGCTGCCGCCCGCGAACGCTACCTGCGCTTCGCCAAGCGCCTCATCGACGCGTGCTCCCGCGCCGAGGAGTGGGGCGAGACGGACGCGGACACCCGCGCCGCCTTTCTGCTCGGGGGCGCGGGCGTGTACGCCGTGGCCACGCTCGTCTACCACGCCTTGGGCCGCTCCGACTACGTGCAGCCCCTCGGCAAGTTCCGGGCTCTGTGCGCCGTCTGCGCGCCGGTCTCCTTCCTGGACTGCGGCTCCGATGAGCTGTTCGTGGGCCGAGCCGGCTACCTGTGCGCCGCGCTTGTGCTCAAGCAGAAGCTCGCCCAGGAGGTAAGACGCAGTCCCGGCCGCCGGAGGGCGCTCGCCTGCTGCCCGCGCCCGCGGGGTCCTGCTTGTCTGGACTCCTCGACGTCCGCAGCAGCACCGCCCTGCACCACCCCTGTCTCTTTGTTACTTCTGTCTGTGCCCTGTGCTTGAGTCTCTCTCTCTCTCTCTCTCTCTCTCTCTCTCTCTCTCTCTCTCTCTCTCTCTCTCTCTCTCTCTCTCTCTCTCTGTCTCTGTCTCT